TGGTAACTGTAGTCTGGGCAATTTCTGAAAAACCACTGGGCAGTGGGTTCTGGAGTTTCTTTGTAGGAGCCTTTGTTTTGCTTTGCTTGTCTGAAGAAGAATGAGGAAGTGGGTTTTGCAGGCATGCCAGGAGGAGGAGAACATGCTGGTGCTTGAGCTCTGTGGGAGGGGGCTTCTAGCCTACCACCCCTGCTTCGGGGACTGGCTGACCCCATGAGCCAAGGGAGGAGAAGATTCCAGGAGTACACAGGCTGGCTCCAGGCACCGAAGCTGGCAGACGCTACAGCCCAGGGGGCATCTGGATGGTTTATCCACTGGCACCCCCAAGCAGTGCCATCTGTAGGGTAGCAGTGCCTTCTTGGAGCCCAGTAGCAGTAATGAGTAGCCATGAAGGGTGGCATAGGCAAAGATGCCAATGGGTGAGAACCAGAAGAACAGGAAAACAACCACAAAACACGAGGGACCTTTGTGTGACCAAGTGAACTATTAGCAGGACGTCATGGAAAAAAACAATGAGAGCTGAGTGTAAAGACAGGAGCAGAGAAACTTAGCTGAGTTCCACTGATGGGACCCACTTGCTCACACAACTGGGAAAATCCAAGTAACACACGCTGCATCCATTCTGCAGACACTTCAACGCCTAAGCCGCAGCAAGACACAGTGCCGGGTGCTGGGCTGCATCAAGGAGCTAGAAGGCTCCTGCCTTGAGAAACTTACAAGAAACACACATCCTGCCCTTTCTGTGGAAGAGTCCCTATATATTCTCATAGCATTCGAAATACTTGACAGATCACATTTAGTTTTTAGTGCATAAATTATTCTCGGCTTCTGTTGTTGATGTCTGCTCGTATCCTTAGTTCTTGAGGAAGTGGCACTTATTACATAAGACGTGTGTTTTCCCTGTGGGCAGTGCATGGAAGTGTGAGGTGTCCAAACACTATTTACTGCCCCCTTCCTCAGCTTTTGTAGGGTTGGGGTGAAAGAAATCACCTTCAGAAAGTTAAAACAATAGAATCAACATAAGATAGAGGAGATCGGCCACTTTAAGAAAAGAAACCACTTTGTTTCATTTGGTCATCTGTTTGTGTGTTCAGTTTGGATTCAGGGACACAGAATTAGGTTAGTCATAATCCTCAGTTCAAGACACAGATTCTTCACTGGTCCCTGAATAGCTTGGGTTTTTTTTTATCTGTTTGTTTAATAATAAATTAAACAATCTACTATCCAACATGAGATCCAGAACTTAATGAAGCTTATGTTTTCCTAACCCATCCCAATGCTGATATGATCACTATCCAAACACACACACACACACACACACACATTTATACTTAAGAGCATATATATACAAAAACTACATTTTAAACACGTGTGTGAGTATATATGCTTTCACACATACGAGAGAGAGCATGTTAATTTTAGTTGTTTTTCACTTTATATAAAACGAAAACATTATTCTAAAAAATGTTTCTGAAACTTATTCAGTAATGTATATCCAAGATTCATCCATATTGTTTCATGTTGTTTTTCATCGTAGTTCATTTTACCACTCAGGAAAGCCACTCATTCTCTTGTCTAGCAGGTATTGAGTTGTTTCTGCGCTGTATTTTACTCTTTATTATGGAAATTTTCAAACATATACAAAAGTAGAGAGAATGATATAAGGAAGCAGGGTGCAGCCGTCACCAGGATCAGCAATTACTAACATTTGGCCAGTCTTATTTCAACTGTTCCGCCACACACCACTGGATAATTTTGAAGCAAATCTCAGACATCACCCATAAAAAATTTAGTTTGTCACTTAGATAATAACCTTTTTTTAATGTAGCAATGCAAATAGCATGCTTATTCATTAATAATAGCATAAACCCAGCCCTCCAAACTCCCTGATCATCTCACATCTTTTCTGCCAGTGTGACCCTACGCTTCTGAAATCGCGGCGGGGAGGAAATGCGTAACCTGTGAGGTCACGGCAGAGTCTGAAAGCGGGTGGTGGTTCTCCTCTGGCTGCAGTCAGCTCATTTTCTGGGTCATTGCTAAAGCTGCCAAACTCTAAAGTGGGTGACTCCAAAGAGCACTGAAAATGTCCAAGGGAGGAAGAGAGGTGCAAGCCGTGTGGCCCCAAGCCTGAAGATAAAGAAAAGTCAGAAGTATCCAAAGCCCCCTGTGCAATGTCCTCACCAATTCCTCCTTCTCAAACCTCGCTCTCCTCTCCTTTCATTGTTAAAATCTAACAAGGTGTTCAAAGGCCTCTCCCAGCCCCTCCATACTTCTCCCTCCTTGAATACTTAGAAAACGGGAGAAAAAGGGAAGAGGAGATGACAATAGGAAAACAGAAAAGTAAAGGTCAAAAACTGCCCAAAACCTCCTTCACCTAAACCAGGGCTTGGCAAATTTTTCCTGTAATTGACCAGAAAGTAAATATTCTAGGTTTTGCGGTCTCAACTATTCAACTCTATCTTCAAAGAGCAAAAGCAGCTGAAGATAATCTGCAAACAAACAGGGAAGGCTGTTTCCTAATACTCTTAATTCACAGAGACAGAGGGCAGGCTGCATTTGGCACACAGGCTGTAGTTTGTCAGCCCATAGTCTAAGTATAACCATTTTTATTTCTGTCTATCCTTCCTATGTTTTGCTTATTAAACAGTTACTATAGTTGAAATAGAAAAATAGAAAAAATGGAAATATAAAATATAGCTAAATAGCTAAGTTAATTAATGTGATTATTTCTATTTTTCAGATGAGAAAATTGATGTACTGTGAGATTAAAGGATTTGCCCAAGACCACAGAGGCACTCTGTGGCAGTGCTTGAACTTGAACTTACAAAGTCTGTCTTCAAAGTCCATGTTTTTAAGTTTTCTCCTTGTTTAGATGCAAACAAATGTCAATATTGTAACCACAAAAATTGTACAAAATAATTTATTAATTAGCTGGGCGTGGTGGTATGTGCCTGTAGTCCCAGCTACTTGGAAGGCTGAGGCAAGAGAATTGTTTGAACCCAGGAGGTGGAGGTTGCAGTGAGCCGAGGTGGTGCCACTGCACTCCAGCCTGGTGCCTGGTGACGGAGTGAGACTCTGTCTCAAAAAAAAAAAAAAATTTCCTTAATATTGTAAATATTTAAGTCTCACAATCTTGATAATTTGATCATTAAAATATTTATCATTGTAATTGATAATTGCTATATAATTTTTCATCATCAGGGTAAAAAGTTTTATTAAATTCTTATATATCTAATGATTTTCTTTATAAAATTATTTTCTAAGCTAAATTCCCAGGAATAGCATCATTGAGCATCTCTCAAACCTCGTTGTGATATGCTGGAGAGGAGTGTGCTGATTTGTGGCAACTGCCAATTTCCGTGGTGTAAATACTCCACAATGGCCACCAATGATACGCTACCAACATGACATCACTGAACAGAGCCAAGAAGGGATGCACATCCTGGGCTCTCGCAAGAAGATGCAAGTTGGTCCCAGCACCCAACTTACTTGGTTCATGTTGCCTTTCTTCTTCCCAGTACCAAATTATAAATGGAATTACAGGTGTGAGAAGTGTTTCATAAAAACTGTTAAAACACTTGCTCGTGTGTGAGTGCACTGGTATCTCAAATTTGCTCTAATTTACATTCCCTGGTTCTTCCTGAAAGTGTCATTTTTCCATGAGTTCCTTTAAGTGTGTCTCTTCTGCAATCCCCTAATCACATTTTTTCATCTGTTAGGGTAATGACGCTACTATAGATTGAATGTTTCTGTCCTCCCAAAATTAATATGTTGAAACCCTAATCCCCACTATAATATGGTATTAGGAGTTGTGGCACTTGGGAGGTAAGTAAGTCATGAAGACAGTCATCTATCAGCCAGAAAGTGGGGCCTCACCAGACACCAAATCTGCTGGCACCTTGATGTGGGACTTCTCAGCCTCCAAAACTGTGAGAAACACATTTCTCTTGTTTACAAGCTGCCCAAGTTATGTTTTTTGGTTGTAGCGGCCCAGACAGATTAAGACACATGCCTTTTCTACAACTTTATGTGATAGTTATTCATTCCTTGAACTTGTCTGACACAATTTCATCTAAAACTGGCTTTTGTTATTTTATTGTGTAGAAATTATAATGTAATTAAGCCTACTCACTTTTACTCTTGCAAGGCTATTGGTAATGAACAAGAGAGAGTTCATCCCACCTTCATTTCTTCTACAAATATTTATTATATGCCTGCTTTGAGGCACTGGGAATACAGCGAGGACCAAAATAATCTCTTGCCCTCATGGATCTTCCATTTGGGTGGGAAACACAAATTGAAAATAAGCAAATCTGTACTGGAAGATCTGGCGGTGATAAAAGCTACAAGGATACAAAGCAGGGTGAGGGGACAGAGAGGAAGGAAGGGAGTGCCACTTTAGACAGGCCTCTGGAAAGGTCACATTTGAACAGAGACCTGAAAGGCAGAGTCGCCAGCCGTGCTGATTTTCCTGCCATTACAGGGTTTTTTTTGTTTTGTTTTTTTTAATTGAACTCATTTATTTCTCTGGATTTTATTTTTGGTATGTGATATGAAAGAGGCTCTGTTACATTTTTTTCAATTTGTCTACAATTATCTCAATGCCCTTCCTTCTATTTTCAAACTTGTTGTTATAAAGTTGGGTCTAATTCTCAGTTCACTAATACATTCTAATGTGTGTCTTTTTCTAACAATCCACAAGATTTTAGTTGCTATTTTTTGGAAAGCCCTTTCAGCCTCAAAATGAACATCCAGCTTCCTGAAAGGCAAACTAGGTCTTAACCATCACTGTATCTACAACACCTCCCATAGAGTCTAGTCAAAATAGACTCGTAATATGTTTATGTTGAATGAATGTCAAACTCATGTGGATGTTTTCCACTCTCATGCAGGCCTAAGGGGACCTCATTCTGTTAAATAGGTCACAAGTAGCAGAGTCACACCCACTCACAGGCACAGTTACTCTTGTCATTCATTTTTAGAAAAAAAAAAAAAATGTAAGATTTTATTGCTTTACTACAAACCCACTATAAATGCGGCACCTTTGGTAGACAACTGAGGCAAAGAACAGAGTCCCTCAAAAAGACACAGCCACTCCCATAAGAGAAGAAATATGGAGTTTGTGTTTGAATTATTTCATTCCGTTTATTTTAATTGGGATAGGATTGAAAGTCATGATGCAAGGCCGTAGCGCAGTCAGACCATCTGCTTTTCCAGTTCCGTGTTTGCACCGTCTGTGCATCCATAATCCCCCCAAAACCAAGAAGGCCAGTGAAAGTGGGGCCAGCACAATGCCCCAGGAGAATGTGGAGGAGGCTGTGGGAAGAACAGAGTCACGTCAGGGGCTGAACAGTCTCTCACTGCACAAGAAGACAGGGCAATGCAGGTGTACAGACAAGAAAGAAACTGGAGTTTGCTTTCTTGATAAACGTTCATTCATTTCCAGAAAGCACGTCCCTCACACCAAGATGGAGGATATTTGAGAATGATGTCTGTGGCATTAGAGAAACAAGCAAGATAGGGCATCTGTTAGAAACCTCATAGGGTAGGTGGCCAAGTGCTGAGGGTTTAACTTTGTTCCGAAAGTGGAACACTGTGGGTTTAAGATCCTGTCTGTTTACGTCTCAGTTGCCAACTGTGACAGAGCCAGGAACAATTTGCCCTTTTCCAATGAGCATGGGTGTCAGGAGGATCAAAGAAAGCAGCAAAGAAAAATAAATTTTGAATAATGGAGCCGTAGGGGCCAACAGAATTACTCGGGTCCAGCTATTTTGTGTTCTGCTCCTTGGCATCTCTGTGTTATGGAAATACAGGAAGAGACGCTGAATAAGAAGTTAAAAAGCAAATGTGAGAACAGAATGCTATCAGACACATTGTTGATGAGACCAGAAATCTGCATTTTAAAGCTATTATTCGCCACAGTCTGTTTAGTCATCCAGGAATCAACACAACCTCACCCTGTTGCTCCAGAGGCTTCTCACATCTTAAAATCCCACAAAGATTAGAAGTAAGTTCAGCTGTAATTTTCTGGGCAGCTGTTTGAATCTACCTCTGAATCTTGTTGAAAGGCTTTCAGCCTCTGCTCCCTAGATAAGTCGTGGCCAGCTACATGCGGGGTGCTCATGTTATGGAAAAGTTTAAAGGCTCCCAGCCTTTAAAATCGGGGCCAGACAAAACCACAGGTGCCTTGGGCTCAGTAATCTAACCCCTAGAGGGTACATTCTGATTTTTGTGGCATCCTTCATTACTAAATGCATACAACCACCATCTCTCTCCCAGCCTGCTTGTCTGGAAATTATCTGAAACACCGCCCTTCACATGTGTGCCCTAGTTCTCAGACTTCACTGTGAAAGGAGTCTGTTGAGTCCACAGACTTCAGCCTCTCCCTAGGAGAATCTGACAGGGTGGAGATCTGCGCTTGTAACCAGGGCTCAGCTGAGTGTGAGGCTGCTGGTGCACGGAGCACAGTTGGAGGAAATGCGCTGGGTGCCATTCCCTGCCCTGAGGCTGGGACACATTATTGGCTTTCCAGTTTACACTGTGTCTGTGGCTGCCTCCCCAGCAAAACACGGAGACGTGGAGCAGTTTGTATTTGTGTTATTGCTGTAGGATTGCCCAAGAAGGCATCACTGAGATTTCAGTTGGGAATCACTTTGGCTTGCCTGCCGTTAGCTTCGGGCCGTCAACAGAGGCTACATTCAAGGCACCTCTTCCTTCCGCTCAACAATTAAACATTGGCATGAAATCAAGTTAATCAAAAGTGATCATGTGGGTTTTCCTCCTCTTCTTTTAAAATGTCCTTAAATGAACACTGGGTTGATTTGACTGTGGCCTTGTACCTATTTCCTGTCATATAATGACTTTGACTGTGGAGCTGCCCTGAACCCTGGATAGCTCCCAATCCCCAGCTCTTAGAAGTGAAGCTTCTCATCTTCAAGATAAAGAACAATCCACCCTCCCCTAAAGGTCATGCGAAGACAGGTGATCAGTGACCCAAGGCAGAGCTACATGCAGAGTATTTCAAAGTTTACTGTAGAACCATTTCATGTTTTCTAAAAGTCATCTTGCTATTTAAATTTTTCATTTGAGCATAATATCCCAAAGTCCAGCCTCCACCCTATCAAAAATCTTTAAAAAATGGGAGGTTTCTTTTCAGCTCTCCACTAGCAGGCAATGCAAGGGAATTTCTATGGAATCATGTGGAGAATGAGTAGCTTTGTCTCGTATCCATGGAACATTCAACATGTTATGTTCTCCTTTAGTGCTCCCCAAAATACATACATACCTTCTTTGACTGTGGTGCGTAGTGTCTGAAAACCCAGGGTATTACGGACAACACATTTAAAATCCATGTTCAAATCCTCTCTTGTAACAGGATCAAAAATCAATGGCACTTCAATGTAGTTCTCATTATTTTCTGAATATTCCCTGAGTTACAAAACATTCACTTAAATATGATGTATCAAACGCAAGCTTCTCGTTTACAACAGAGACATCCAAACGCTCTCCATGAGAAGTACCCATTGTGCTTTTATTGTTTTAAAGTTTCGTAAAGTTAGGAGCACTTGCCACCACACTTGTTATTCATTTGGGACAGTTTCTAAGCCTGTTCCTGAAGGCCTGAATGTCACTGAAGATGGCCGTCACTGGAATCAAACACTTGATACACTAGAGGGTTAGATAATGGGGAAGTTCATCTTCAAGTCCCTTAATGAACAAAGAAAACCAGTCGTGGGAACAGAAACATCTAGTTTGAGGAAACTTGACTCTCTCAACATTAAATCACTTGCATATTGAAGGGCAGGGAGTTTCCAGGACTCCAGCCCTCAGTGGTGCCTCCTCTTGTCATCTCTACTGCTGACTCTCACGCTGGAAACCTGCAGACAGTCCAGGCGAATGGCTCTGGCCAGGATGGCTGCCATTCATAGTGTTAGAGGAATGTGTAGACGCCTCACTACTGTCTGTTAGTATGAATAAAAGCATGGATGAGTGGGTCCACTAGGAATATTTTTGTTTTATTTTTAGAGAGAACACAGGTTCCTTTAAGTAAATGGATCGTATGAGTAAGCTGAGATGGGCATTTGGTTGTGGCCAAGTCTTTCACAACGAGAACTTGCAAGCACATGATTGTGCCAACCACACATAGTTTTTATCCACTAAATTACAACCAGAAACATCTTTTGTGATAAGTCTTTCAAAAAAACACAACCATCTGGCAGCAAAAGCTCAGGCGAATTCAAAGTATCAAAACTGTAATTTTTTAAATACTTTACAATTTGGAATGTTGAATGGTCTCCCTCATAGGCAAAGAGTTCCCATCTACAAAGTCTGATTGTTCTAGTCTCAGAGTGAGAAAAGATTTTCTAGAGATCACTGCTTATGAGAACTGAATTCTTTCTTTCCTTTATTAGCCTTGCTTAGAGAGTGTGGCAGCCCACAGTTCCCTGAGAAATAGAAGAGGCACTATAGATACTGTGGCTAGGTCTCAGGGTCCTTTTAAGGGTTTCTGAAAATGTTTGTCAGGTTGGAGAGTGGAAAAGGGAGAGATATTAACTCCAAAATAGTTTTAACTTACAAAAATCGAAGGGTCAGTGTTTAACGAAACAGCTACAAAAGCAATATCAATACCAACAGGTCAACTGCAACTCAACTTTTAAGTACTTACAGAGAAAGTTTGGTTCTCAAGATAATTTTTAGCAAAACTTCATTTTTTTAGTCCTAAACATTCAACAGTTTGGAATCAAAAAAAGTTACTTTTAATGCAGTATGTGGGTCATAGTGATAACTCTCTGCAAAAGGAAGCACAAAACCCACAGAGGTCTCACAACAGAAGACCCTGGCCCACTTACTGGCGCGGCCCCTCGGTCACGCGGCCTCCCTGGTAGGCGCTCTCTATGTGGGTGTCATTGGCTGTCCACCACAGCATGGTGGTTGAGGGCGTGCCGGTTCCCAGAAACACCTTACACGGGATTGTCAGTCTTGACCCTGTGGACAACAAGGCGCAGTACATCAACCACAGAACCAGCCCCTCCCACCCATCAGCAAACCTGAGCCCTGAGTCCCTCCTCGGCTTCTCAAACACCCCTCACCAGCCAATTCTTTCCTTAGAAGAAAATTTAGCTTTCTCAAATGATTCTGTTCACATAGACCTTTACTATTTACGAAGTGCCTCCGGTTCCTACAACTGGTCTTCACGGCAGGCGAAAACCAAGAGGCACCTGAAGTTCAACGGTTTCACCAAGGCCCCTGAGCTCCCAGGGGACATTCTGAATTCAAGTCACGGCCACTCACTTCAATTACCTCAGAAAATCCAGATCATGTGTGGATTCTGTCTCTTTCCCTGAGGCTGGTCTTGGCTCTAATGATTCTCCTGGAAACTGTCCGTTCCCAGATGGCTCTGACTGAGGATCAACCCTTCTCAAAAGCTCTGTATTTTCTGTAGACAGTATGCTCTGCAGTTGTGCAATGTGATGTACTAGGTCCCCCTGCCTCAATCATAGGAAATTATTTTTCTTTTTCATTCACCAAAGAAGAGTAGAAGGAAAAGAAGAAAGAAATCCTTCTCACTCGTTTTTTTCTCGTGGGTAACGTGCCTCCCTGTGGTACGTCTTTTAATGCACCTGGCTCCATCATGGGTTCAGAATGCCATCCCTCCTCCATCCTGTGCCACTCCCAGGACCTTAAAGATCTTCCTGAGCCATAACAACCTATTAATCGTTGTCATGTGGCCCCATCACCCACTCCAGTGCATTCAAAGCAACTGACTGGGAACTGGGCGTGAGAACTTGGCTGAGAAGGGAGCCAGAACATGGGGGCTCCGGTAGACATCTCCCAGTGTGCCCACTGCCCCAGATTTCCAGGTGGTTGTTCCCAGAGCTGCAGCTATGGGGACTGCACTGTAGCAGTGGCAACCCAAGGGCCAGCCAGCAGTCCCAGCAACTGCACAAACGCCCTCCTCCTCTATGGCCTTAAATTTAAAATTTAAACCAACACTAAACAAAAGGAAAAAGCAAAGAAATTGTTTTTAAAAAGGCTCTGCAGCCAGGGTTTCATAAATGAGTATCAGACCTACAAAAACATTACCCAGAAGCAAACACATAAAAGAGTGCAGGCTTTATAGGCCCACAGACCTGAATCTGAACTACAGCCTGACTCTGAGGGTGGCCTTCTGGCCTCCACTGAGCCACCATGATGCCCTGGGTGGCTTTTTCCCTGTGAAAAATGTAAGAAATAAAACCTCCTACGTTGAGATTGAATGAGATCCCACTGGACACAGTAGATGCTCAATAGCATCAATTCCTTCCCACCACTAGCATCAGAAGGCTGTTAGTACAGCACACTTACATACCCTCACTGGCCACCAGTGTGGACCTGTGCTGGCCAGGATGCACTGCACCACATGGCGTGAAAAGCAGGAAGCCCCGCTGGTCATTTTCATAGCACCATTCAACCAGCTTACCAGCTCTTCTGGCAACAAGAAACTGATCACTGCTGAGCCCGCTTTACAAATGGAGTCTTAGAGAGATGCAGAGCACCAGCCAGGTTTTGGTGACATGAATTATTTTAAATGCACCGAGGATGCTGGCTGTGCCTGGGCTTCATGCTGTTTATCTTCTCATGCAGTTAATAACTGCTGCAGAACGTTCAGATTTTCACATTCAGATTTTTGCAGGTGGGCTCTGCATGAGGCGAAGTATACCTGTTTTCAGATTATGCCATTTCTAATCAAACTGGCCAAAGGGAAATATTCCCTCACATTTGTTATTCCAGCCTCACACACTGGAGCGCTAAGGTCTCCACCCAAGCACTGCACCAAGGGGCAGGTACGGTCAGCAGACATGAGGGTCCCAAGCCCCCTGCATGGTCCTTGCCGGCCTTACCCAGGGAAGCTGATATGGTCCTGAGGGGGGAAATAATCACAGGAATGGTCTCCTCTTGTTTTCCTGAGAAAGATGTAAGGAAAAGAGATTCCGTTAGGAAAGCCTTCATTTGAAGCTGTAGTTAAGCCCCATTGTTTGGCTAATTAACTGGGTTATCCTTTCCAGTATGGCCAGTCATTATGAGAGTCAGCCTTTGTCTGGCAAAGGAAACAGGCTCTCTACAAAATCGAGCATCCTCAGCCAATGCCTTTCCCAGCAGAGAGATTACTGGAAGAGGCCACAGCTAAACACACATTCCGCTGACAGAAGGTCTTTGCTCCTTGCTCTGTGATAAACAATTAACCATTCCCCTCCCAGACTTCCTGAACACAATCTTAAGAGTCATATTTATGAGGTCCACGAGATAGATTCTCCCCGAAACTCAATCTGTCCTAAAATATCTTCTCCACCTCTCCAAAGTGCCTGCCACAAAATGCTGAAGATTCACTTTAAAAAAGGCACAGGGCTCGGGAACAGCCTGTTTGGAAAACTAGTGTGTAACCTGGCCTCGGCCATGGAGGTCTTGTTAATTGAAGAGAGAAACTCTAGAGGGGCAGAAGTGGATCTCCAAAGGATTAGAGCCAGCGTAAAGAAATGAGGCACCTGAAATGAGCAAAAAGGACACCTGGGGGGTGAGGGCTGTGAGTTGTCTCCACCACCGGCCTCATCATCCTCATTTCCACTAAACAGCATTTTGAAATCCTGACATGGGTACACATTAAACAGTATCGCAGCACAGCCCGAGGGGCAAACAGCTTCTCCACCAAAGCCAGATGCCTTTTCCTCCCCTCCAAGTCACGTGCGGCCCTATGGAGCTGGGGCATCCAGGGATAGAAAGAAGCCCCCAGCACCTCAGGGCTTCTTAGACTTCAGGGTCCCCAGCACCACCTGGGGGCTTGTAGACACAAATGGCAGCCCTCAGCCCCAGTTTCAATCATAGGTCTGCACGGGACCCGAGATTTGCACGGCTGTTGAGTACCCAGGCGATGAGGCGCGGCTGGCCCAGGGCCACCCCTTGAGAGCCACTGAGATCCCAGGAGGATCACAACACGGAAAGGCACGTAGGGCGGCTGCCCCCTAGTGTCCCTGCGCAGTATCGCAGGGACAGGACCGTGCTGGTCCACCGGAAGGCTCAGGCACTGGCCTGCCCGGGAGCAAGGAGCTGGTATGAACGAATCCTCACGGGACTGTACAGCAAACACAATCGGGACACTTCAGTCCATGAAAGACCGCGGTGAAACTGAATCTCTGCATTCTCCGTGAGAAAAATATTTCTTTTGCTCTCATAGACCGATTTTTAAACTTAGTGCGTCTCCAAAGCTCTCTGAAATCCTCTTAAAAGATCCTAGTTGTGTTCGTTACTCGCTATAAAAAACAAAGTGGCCCGCTCTCCAAGGCAAAGTCCAGGATTTACACGTCGTCACACCTGGCTCCATGTCCGGCACACAGTGGGGAGGGAGTAAATGTTGAACAAATGTGAACCACTAGCCAATACTGTTCACAACACCATTTCAAACGTAATTCCTTTTAGTCAATGGCAGCTCTATTTGAAATATTGCTATTCAGGGCAGCTAGATCCACCTTAGGGAAAACAAATAAAAAGTGATTTCCACTGGACATGCAAGGCATAGACTTCTGGTTAGAACACCCAATAAAAATCTAAGTATCCTAGAATTATACATAAAGTTATGGCATACGGGGAACTCTAGCCCTGTAGGTGCAAAGCTTCCACAGCAGACTTTCCAAGGGGACATTCCAAGGAAGCCACCATTTGGCCCTCTCACGTGGTGTGTTTTAGCCTTCATCTTGCCCCTATAACCTGCCCAATTCATTCACCTTTCCTCCAAATAACACCCTGATTGATACCTTTCAAAGTATCACACATGTCTTGTTACCCTGATGCTTCAGGAGAGTTGACAGATCTGTCTTCCCCTATCCTTTATTCCAAAGACCTGCAAGGAATTCTACATGCACCCTCATTTGTTCTCTGCGTGCTTGTTACTGAACCGGGATAGGTCGGTGCCTCAATGGCAAGCACTTACTCTTGATGCGTAGCTCGATACTCCTAGTGATGTTGTATTGCTGGCCTTCGTGGGCAAATGTTAGGACACAGCGGTAATAGCCCGCATCTTCCAGGGCCACATCGTGCACGAGTAAGTGAGTGGTCCCCCTCACACTGAGAAATTTCTCATTGTCTTCATCCAAAAGAAGAGAATCCTTGAGGGAAAGCATTTTTTAAGTTTACGTTATACCAATATACATCTCAACGGCTGTGAATTGCATCATCATTATCAACCAGTGATGGATTTGCAATCCAAGAATTGCCCTGGTATTTACTTTGCCAGTTTTGTATTTTAGGCATACTTTTAACTGTACTTTTGGGGAGGAAATTTGTTAACATATAAAACCAATAAAAGTGCTAGATTTGCTTAAATACAATAGTTAGAGCATATCTGTCTAGGCCCCATGGGAAATAAAAGAGACTAACTCTCTTCTTTGACAAAGTAACCCATCCAAAATACAAATGTATTTATGTCCTGACTGCTACCTTCAGGCCTCAGGAAGTATCTGGGAAGAGCACTATTAAATAGTCATCATGAGTTGGACAACAATGCTCAGAAGAGATGATGTTGCAGTAATTAAAAAGCATTTTGATTTTGTGAGTCAGTAAGAGAAAAATTTCTAAGAAAAACTAAATAGGGGAAATGAGTCCACACTTTTTATATGGACAGAAGGTTCTCTGGGGTCTCTGCAGAATACAATCCTCAAGAGTAAGGCCTCCAGGAAATAGAAAGAGCTGAATGGGATGTCTAAAAACACCCTAATGAGCACACAATGTTCTCAGAGACATCGCTTTCAAAATCATGATTATTCGAAGTTTGCGGTAGTCAAATGTAACCTTGAGTCACTTCAGAGACTTACTCTAATGAGAACACAAAGAAAATTGAAATTGCCACATGGCTCACGATAGATACCACTTTAGAACATATTTAATTAAAAGGGGAGATTTCATTGTTCTAAGCATGAGTAGTCAAATATGAAAAATGCTAAATAGGGCCCAACACACAGTCATTCCAGTAGTATATGGGAATTGGCCTCCTGGGTTAGTTTTTACTTCACCATCTACTAGCTGTGTGACCTTGGGAACATTCCTTATGGGTCCTTATCTGTTAAAAAAAAAAAAGGCGTGGGGGGCAGATATTTAAAGTTCCTGCTTCGTTGGATTGCACATAAGGGAGTTCAGAACAGGCTTGGATATAGTACATGCTCAGTAATATGTAGCATTATTATGAAAGGAATAAATATTACTAAGCACCACCATGACATCTTTGTCCTTGCACGTTTATTGCACACCATTTATATGTCAAGCGCTGCACCGGGTGCTTCCTACGCATCATTCCATTTAGTCTTTGAAACAATCCCACGTCGGGGGAGTTACTAATTGCCACTTTACAGAGGAAACAGGTTCGAGAGGTAGCGTCACTCGGCCAAGGCTACACAACAGGCCAGAAAAGGAAGAGAGTTTCAAACCTGGACCCATTGATGCCAGAGCCTGTGCTCTTTCCTCTCCAGGTAAAACCTTTGATTTGTCCCCTTTATGCTTTTTCCAAATCAAAAGAGAAGGCGTTCTCCGCTGGGCTTAGTGGCTCGCGCCTGTAATCCCAGCACTTTGGGAAGCTCAGTGGGGAGGATCACTTGAACCCAGGAGTTCAAGACCAGCCTGGCCAACATGGTAAGACCCCATCTCTATTTAAAAAGAAAGAGAGAGAGAGAGAGCGCATTCTAGAGTTCAGCCAGCTTATTTATAGGAGCTACTTTCTTCTACTTTCAGGAAATGATTTCAAAGTTTACAATATTAAATCGATATCCTAGATAGAGATCCCATAGTTACAATACCAGCCAACTACTTAACCTGTTAACCTATTGTTGATTAAAGGGTTAATTCCCATCAATGATTAAGCCAATAACTGTACTTTTCAGTATCGTCTAGGGTCTCTATCAGGAGTTGACCAACGTTTTCAGGAAAGGGCCAGAAAGGAAGTATTTTGAGCCCTGCAGTCTTCAGGGTCTCCGTCACGGCTAAGCAGTGCAGAAGCAGCTACAGACAGTACCTAGACAGAAGACGTGACCGTGTCCAGGGAAACTTAATTTACAGGCCCTGAAATTTTAATTTTATGTGATTTTCACATCATAAAATATTCTTCTTTTACTTTTTTCAAACATTTAAAAAAGTGACAACTATCCTTGGCTTGTGAGCCATTCAAATCCAGGAGACGACTTGATTCCAGGGCCCAGCCATAGTTTTCCGGCCCCTGATCTACCTAAGCAATACCTGATGTTCTCACTAGGAGCAATGAACACATCAAATAACATGTATTCAACCAGAAAAGGGAACAAACTGTGTTCATATTTACTCCCTTAACCCAAAGGTTTGTTGTCATGTGCTTTTTGTTGTTGTTCTTGAGATGGAGTCTCGCTCTGTCACCAAGGCTGAAGTGTAATGGCGTGATCTTGGCTCACTGCAACCTCTGCCTCCTGGGCTCAAGTGATTCTCCTGCCTGAGCCTCTGGAGTCACTGGGATTACTGGTGCCCACCACCATGCCTGGCTAATGTTTGTATTTTCAGTAGAGACGGGGTTTCGACATGTTGGCCAAGGTGGTCTCAAACTCCTGACCTCAGGTGTTCCACCTGCCTCAGCCTCCCACATTGCTGGGATTACAGGTATGAGCCACTGAGCCTGGCCGTCATGTGCTTTTTTAAAAAACTCCTTTAATATGTCTATAAAATTGTTATATAAACTTTTTTCTACATTCGTATAGACAAATAAAATAAAAAAATTATTTCCTTCAGCTATTATGTACTCTGTCTTCACAAATCACTATTTCAAGCATCTTTACCCAAGCCACATAAGGACTAATAGAACATATTAATTATGGCTCTTTAAAATTCTTTAAAATACAATCATCCCTCAGTATCTGGGGGATTGGCTTCAGGAAACATCCCCCACAGGTACCAAAACACAGATGCTTAAGGTGTTTGTATAAAATGGTGTTGTCTTTGCATATGACCTATGGGCATCCTCTCTTATACTTTAAATCATCCCTAGATTATTTGTAGATTACTAATACAATGTAAATGGCATATATAAATACAGTCCTGTGTCACTTAACAATGGGGCTAACTCTGAGAAACAGGTTAAGTGATTTCTTCATTTTGTGAACGTCCTAAAGTGTACTTGCACAGACCTAGATGGTAGAACCCACTATACACCTTGGTGACATGGCACAGCCTGTTGCTCCTAGGCGACAACCGTATAGCATGTTACTGTTCTGAATATTGTAGGCAATTGGAACACAGTGGTCAGCTGTTGTACATATGAACATACCTAAACATAGAAAAGGTAACGTTTTGCACTACGATGTGAAGACAGCTAGGCAATAGGAATTTTTCAGCTCCATTACAATCTTACGACACCGCCATTGTACACACATTGTTGACGGAAGCATTGTTATGCAGCACGAGACTGTAGTTGTTACACAGTATTGGGTTTTTTTATTTGTATTATGTTTATTGTATTGTTATTTTGTTTGTTAGTTGTTTATATTTTCAATCCGAGGTTGGTCGAATCCTGAGATGTGGAACTCATAGATACCAATGGCAAACCATATGTATGTGTGTGTGTGTGTGTTTGTGTGTGTGCACACTGTCTTCAGAAAATCAATATTTTACGTCTTTCCTTTATGGCTAGTAAAAAAAAGAAAACACATTTTAATAAAACAGCATTTTTTAAAGCCATACCTTGTACCATTGAATCTTCACGTCAGTTTTGTTACGGATGAATTCGCTCAGGTCAGGGCACACTAATACCCCAGAGGTTGACAAGGTTAAAATTTGCGGGTATGAGATGAACGGCAGGGAAGCATCTGTATCCTCAAAAACCCTGAGCTCAATGGACATTTTGTCACAGTAAGAGGCATTTCTGATTTAAAAGGAAAAAAAAAAAATGAATGGCAAGCCAAAATAAAAGTAAAGCTAAATGAAATTAAGAATCATTTCCCCAATTCTATTAAAATCTGCATCTGCATTTTCTGGATTAGTATAGATGGTTTCCCGACATAAGACGGTTCAACTTAGGATTTTTTGACTTTACAATGGTGCGAACACAATAAGCATTCAGTAGAAACCCTACTTCAGTGAAGTATTCAATAAATTACATGAGATATTCAATGCTTTATTACAAAATAGACTTTGTCTTAGATGACTTTGCCCAGCTATAGGCTAATGTAAGCATTCTCAGCCCATTGAAGGAAGGCTGGGCTAAGCAATGATGTTTGGTAAGTTAAGTGTATCAAGTACATTTCTCACAACAGTATTTCCAACTTACAATGAGTTTATTGGTATTTACCCCATTGTGAGCCAGGGAGCATCTATATTGCAATACTTCTGTCCCTGATCTTTTTGAACCCTTGTGAGACGACAAGTGTCATAACACAATTATACAGAAAAGGCATGTTCCATGTTTTTCACGAACGACTGTCTACAAGCTCATTTCTAATGCCACCAAAGTTCATTAAGAAATCCCCAAGTCCTCTTCAAAAGAGCTTAAGGGTTCCAGGTTCTGGAGCTCCTTGAGCCCAGCCCCCACATACTCCAACTTCATGATCCAGGAAACCACATCCACATGGAGAGATTGTTTCCCAAGAGCCACTGTTTCTGTGAAAAGGAATATTCCCTTTGCTCCTTTGAGGAATTATCAACTGAAGTCTAATTTTAGAAAACTGCTGGAAACTTAGTGTAAGACCCATAAAAGATTTTTGCAATACTGCATGGGAAATTAACTTGGTAAGTTTGCTTATTATTATTATTTTATTATTATTTTACTAGCCTAACCATTATTTCAATGCCATAATTCTATCAAGACCTTAGAGCTGGCAAAAGGGGAGAGGCAAAACCTTGTTGAAAATTTGGGAGAAATGGATGGAGGAGAGAAGACAGTAATTAGAACTATATTTTTTAAGAAGAAAAATATAAAAATTTAATTATCTCAGCTAAATTTCTGGCTACCTAAGACATCAGAGACTTTGACAGAGACAATGAGGATGTGTTTTACATATAGGAATAAAAATTACTTGCACAGCAAAATCTAAACCATCCATATTCAAAAAAGTAACAAAATGTTTTTAAAAAAAAGTAAAAGAAAAGTAATAAAAGCTTATCACCCCAAAGTAAAAGAATTAATTTAAATATATGTGGCCAATATCTGTATTATGTTTAGCTTAAAAAATGAAAATAGATGAACAAATATTATATTTTATGCATAAAGAAATGCAAGATGTTAACTCTCACCTTGAAAAATGCATAATCTCACTGCAAGTTGAATAAAGGTAAAAACGGACAAATCTAAAGACCAGGGACTACTTGAGTAACAGTCACACAGCAGTAGCCAGCAGGGAGCAGATGCAGGCCAGGCCCTGTGCTGTGTACTTTGCACACATTATTTCACTTATAGTCCAACCCCATGAAGTAGGAATTACTATTATATCATTTTTATATGAAAAAAAGTTAGGTGTACAGAAATGAAGTGGGCTGTACAGCTACAAAGAGGTCAAACCAAAATGGGAAGCCCAGCAAGGCTCTGGGAAAACCCATAAATCAGGACACTATCTTTAGAAACAAGCTTAGTAGACATATTGAAAGTTACAAGGCTGTTCACATTATTGATCTGGTAATTCCCCTTGAGCAAGAAACCTCATGAAAATAACTCAAAGGAAGAGAAGAGTGGTGAGGGGTAATTTGATCACCACTTGCATTCCCCATGTAGCGTGACACACCCGTGGCAAACGCATGATAGTCATTAGTAGTGCTGCTCACCAAATAGGCCCAGTTCTTCCCATCCTGAGCACATGGCGTATCACATGTGCTCATCCCCACTGTGGGTGGGTGTAGTTATATGACTCTTCCTAGCTCAAGAGTTGTATGTGTAGCCCTTCTACATGAAAGCTGTAACAGCCATGAGAGACCCTCCAAAGCATGCTTCCTTCTGCTCTAGCAACTAATCAATAACATTTTTAGTGACAATGACTGCTCCTTCAGCCTGAGTCCCTGAGTGTCTGCAAACTCACAATGGACCTGTTGCATGTGTAAGAAAGAGGTCTTTTTTTAGATTTGGGAGCTGTTTGTTACAGCAGCATAACCTTGCCTGTCTACTCTTTTTCTTTCCTTCCTTCCTTCCTTTCTTTCTCTTTCTTTCCTTTCCTTTCTTTCTTTCTTTCTTTCTTTTTTCTTTCTTTCTTTCTTTCTTTTTTTCTTTCCTTCTTTCCTTCTTTCTTTTATTCTTTGGTTCTTTCTTTCTCTTTCTTTCTCTTTTCAGTGGTAGAAAGTAAGGCATTTATTTGCAGGGTGCCAAGCAAGGAGACCCAGGCAGCCACTGCTCAAATCCTGACCTCTCTGATGGCTTGCATCCTTGCCTACTCTGACTCACCATGTGGGTTCTAGGTCACAAGATTTTAAACAGTCACAGGAATAAGGCAGTCTCCTGCCTCATGACCATCAATGCTAAAGAGTATTATGGCAAATGCTGGTGATTCTCACTCTCTCAGAACCCCAATCTTACAGTCGACAGAGTATTATTAGAGGTCATCCAGGTAAACCATCCCATCATGAAAAGAAAGTTTGGCACACACTGGGATTTCCACTGCCCCTATATCTCAGCTCTTTCTTTTCCTACAAAAACTGAGCATGAAAACAAACTTTAAGACAAACAGGACTCAGCTCACATCTCCCTGATTTTTGAACAGTCTCACTTCAGTAGTCATGTAGACTGCCTTTTGGGAAGGAGAGGAAATTTTTATGCATGTGTTGACCACCTACCACAGCACACCCCATACCAGCTCCTTCACATGCTGTGATCTCACATAACCCTCTCAACAAACTTCCTTACAGGGGAGAAAACTAACACCCATAAAAGTCAAGTGATAAGCCCAAGGTCTCAACAGATAGGAAGTGAGAGAGCTAAATTCCCATCTGTCTTTCCGACTCTGGGTTCCATTTTTTCTTACTACGCTGTGAAGCTTTCCTAGTAGCGCTCCTTAGAGAAAATGAGAAATTTTACCATGAAAAAGGAAGAAGAAACATGCATTTATAGCTATTGTAAAATCAGACATCCACACTTTCCTGGCATAAGAATGGAAGATAGTTTGCCTGTTTCTTAGGCGAGCTTCATTGACAGGATCAAAACTGTCCCTGAATTGCTTGTAGTTGGGGCTAGGCATATGGATGGTAGTGTCAAGCTGGGTTTGATTTGAAAAGATTCTCAATTTCACACATGCACACATGCACATGCACACACACAAACACACACACACCTAGAGGGCACCCTCCACCTCGTATCTCCTCCCACCCCCAACACCCCCTGACATACATACACCCAGCTTAGGACTGGGGCCGATGTGGTCTGAAATTTTTCCATTCACCAGTAATTCCTTTGTGCTAAGAATATAATTTATCTCTTCTTTTTCTAAATGTACATATTCCTGGGTACCATTCTTCTTAAATCAAATGATTTCATGAAATCTGGAGACTCTGAAACCAGCTGGCAGAAGGAGTAAGCAGAGCCTTTGGAGGAACAGAAGAAGCAGCTGATGAGAGAGGCCAAAAACACTAGTTCCTCATCAAGCCGAGGGTTGTCCCTAAGCCTTTCAGAAGAACTAAGCCAAGAAACTTTTTAAGATCACCAATACTAGCCCTAAAACGTCATCCATCAAGAAGCAGTAGGACATGTCAAGACCATTCAATGGCGAAAGACAGTCTTTTCAGCAAATACTATTAGAGAGACAGGATAGCCCCAGGCAAAAGAATGAAGCTAGACCCTTACCTAACACCATGTACCAAAATTAACTCAAAATGGATCAAAAAACAAAACGTAAGAGCTAAAACTATAAAATTTTTAGAGGAAAACAAAGGGGAAAATCTTCATGACATTGTATTGGGCAATGGTTTCTTCACACCAAAAGCACAAGCAATAAAAGAAAAAAATAAACTGGATTTGATCAAAATTAAAACCTTTCGTGTAACAAGTTACACTATGAAAAGAGTGAATATGCAACCTAGAGAACGGGAGAAAATATTTCTAAATCATAGGTCTAATAAGGCAAGAGGTTAATAACCAGGGAATGTAAAGAACTCCTACATCTCAACAACAAGCAGCAAAATCCAGTCTTTAAAGTGGGCAAAGGGCTTGAGTAGACGTTTCTCCAGAGAAGATGCACAGATGGTTAATAAACACATAAAAAGATGCTCAGTGTCACTAATCATTAGGAAGATGGAAATCAAAGCCACAATGAGACACCCCTTCACACTCATTAGAAGGGCTATTATCAAAAATGCTGGAAAATAACATGTGTTGGTGAGGATGTGGAGAAATTGAATTTTGGCACTATTGGTGGGAATGTAAAATGGCACAGCCACTATGGAAAACAGTGTAGTAGTTCCTCAAAACGAAGTAAAAACTTAACAGATGCTCCAGTAGTTCCTCTTTGGGATCTATACCCAGAAGCACTGAAAGCAGAGACTTGAACAGATATCTTCATTTCCATGTTCATATTGGATTCACAATAGCTGAAAAGTGGAAGCCAACCAAATGTCCCCGGATGGATAAATGGACAAACAAAATGTGGTACATACATAGAACAGAATAATAATATTTCACCTCAGAAAGGAAAGAAACTCTGCCACATGCCACATATACACCATGGAATATTAGGCAGCCATCGAAAACGATGAGTTTGTGTCCTTTGTAGGGACATGGATGAACCTGGAAACCATCATTCTCAGCAAAGTGACACAAGAGCAGAAGATCAAACACTGCATGTTCTCACTCATAGGTGGGTGTTGAACAATGAGAACACATGGACACAGGGAGGGGAGCGCTACACACTGGGGTCAGTTGGGGGGAAATAGGGGAGGGACGGTGGAGGGTGGGGAGTTGGGGAGAGATAGCATGGGGAGAAATGCCAGACATAGGTGATGGGGAGGAAGGCAGCAAATCACACTGCCACGTGTGTACCTATGCAACAATCTTGCATGTTCTTCACATGTACCCCCAAACCTAAAATGCAATAAAATAAATAAATGGAAAAAAAAAGAAACTCTGCCACATGCTACAACATGAACGAACCTTGAAAACATTATGCTAGTGAAATAATTCAGTCACAGAGACTGATTGCACTTAAATGAGGTACCTAGAGTAGTCAAAATCATACAGTCAGAAAGTAGAATGGTGGTTGCCAGGGGCTGGAGGGACGGGAAGCAGGGAGTTACTGGGTTCAGAGTTTCCGTTTCGCAGGATGAAAAAGTCCTCAAGATGGATAGTGGTGATGGTTCCACTGATCTGTACGCTAAAAAATGTTTAAGATGATAAATTTTGTGTTATGTGTATTTTTCTACAGTTAAAGGGGAACAAAGCAACAGGTCAAAGAGAGAGGAGGACTGGACCCAGGGTCAAGAGACTCGGGTTCCAGTGTCGGCTCTACCACCCAGCACCTGGGAAACTTTCTAAGCCAGCGTGGTTCCCTCATCCTTACAATGAGCACTTGGACTAATTTAATCATAAGGCTTCACCCAGCTCTAAAATCCTATTCAGAGTAAAATCTTATTCTGTCTATTTCTCTGTTCCTTACTATGTAGCGCGAGCAGTGAACGGCATAGACCAAGTTCCTGCCCTCGCAGAGTTTACATTCTAAAGGGGTATAAACAACTAAATCTGGTAACACACACAGATGTGTCCGATGGGAAAATGCTATCGAGGAAACTACAGCAGGGTAAGGAGAGTCACAGAGGGCTGTGTCAGCTAAAATGGCTAGGGATGTTATCTCAAAAGAGGTGGCATTTGAGCAAAGACTAAATGGAGATAGAATGAGACTGTAGGATGGGGGCTAAGTCAGAAACAGCAAGGGGGACGCAATGTGGATTCACTGGATTTGAATTTTGTACACTGGATTCTGAGATCCAGATCATGACTGAAGAACCTCGCGAGCTCCACTCCGCCGGGATAGCCTCCCCAGCCCTGTGCCGAGGGGCTTACCTAGTAGTGCAGATGTAGGTGCCAGAGTCCCCCTGCAAGGCTGGCAGAACCCACAGAGCACCATCCTGGGTCCACATCCGTGTCTCTTCTTCTCCTGGGACCGTCCTAGCAGAGTCATTTTTATGCCATGTCAGGTTGACGTGAGGGCTGACAGAGGCCCACAGCCAGTAGGGCACCTGGGGGCACCTCAGGGCCACAAGCTCCCCTTCCAGCCTGAACTCCCGCTTGTAATGTCTCCCACGAAACCGGCAGCTTCTGGCAGCCCCTGAAGACAGAGAGCCCACGGTCAGGCTTCGGGTCCAAACCCTTCGCAGATCATAAAGCCTCCCTGGACCTGGGACCGATCCTGATTGTGGCAGGGAGACCTGGAGTACATTCAAGGAAGATGTCATTTGTTCCTCAAAAAATGACCTACACCCTGGGGTTCTGCTAAACTCCTTCCCTACCCCGTTATTATACTTTCAAAATTTCCAAGTAGCAAGTTCAGTGCCACTATCCACTCCAACTTACGTTTGTGAAGAAAGCTAAATCAGGTTTCTGTGGTGCCAAAAAATTAAAGATGAAAAACTATGGCCATATTTTTCATTTGTTGACCTCTCATTATTAAAAGTAGATCTGGGCTGAGTTCATACAGTAAAAGCTTCGTTCTGGCGTGTTGTGTGGTTAAACTCCAAAGGCAACTTTGTTAAGGGCAAACGCATCCCTTCCTCAGTCTGCTCCTTGACAAGCACATTCACACCATGCTTTTTTTCTTTTCTTTTCTTTTCCTTTTTTATTTTTTTGAGGTAGGGCCCCACCCTGTTGCCCTGCTGGAGTAGAGTGATGCAGTCTCCACTCACTGCAGCCTCAGCTTTCTGGCCTCGAGCGGTCCTCTCACCTCAGCCTCCCGAGTAGCCGGGACTGCCGGCATGCACCGCCAAGCCCAACTAATTTTTTTTTTTTTTAAGGCATGAGTCTTGCTATGCTGCCCAGGGTGGTCTCAAACTCCCAGGCTCAAGGGGTCCACCCGCAGAGGGTTCTCAAATGCTAAGATTACAGAACAGGAGCCACCGAGCTCGGCTGGCCGTTTGCTTTCTGACAACAAAACCTCGCTAGATAACAGCTTTCCCCAGCAAAGCTGCAGGCGAGTCCTTTTGCATCTGAAGGGTTTACTTCTTACCTGTGTGCGCCACAGGCTGAAGGGTGAAGGCAGAAACTCCCATTACCAACACGTACAAGCGGAACATTGCTCCTGACAATTTCCAGAGGACACAGAAGAGGAGGATGAGGTCCGGCACCGCGTGGTCTGGGGGAGAAGACAGAAGTGTCACCAGGAACTGAGAATCCCTTGAAGATGGGGCAGGAGCAGGGTCTGCAGGCTTCACTGGATGATGGGAACCTTTGTGCCTACTTTGTTTAAGAAGAAAACTCAGAATTTTTGGATTTGCTTCTCTGCAGCTACATTCACTGAACACATCTAAAGTTGAATCCCTGTAGCACCTACGGGCATGCTTGGCAGAGAGGCTCCATCCCCTAAGCTGCTGACTCTGCAGAGGCCTGCCTTCGCCATTCCTGCCCCTTGGCCAGCGATTCTGTCTCCTCAGCTAAGGCCACTGCTACTGCCCTCTCTGCTCAGACTTCACTTTCTTAGTGAGGTCTCCCTCACCTCTCTGTCTAAAATTGCACCACCTTGAATCCCGGCACTACGTGTTTTCCTCCCCTTCCATGTCATTCTCTGTGCCATTCATATCAGCCCTCTCTCCCTAATCCAGAACTCAGGCTCCACAGATGGAAGGGCTGTGAAAGGAAAAGAAGAACTTGGGACCCCCAATTCACTCTGCCAAAAGGAAAAAATTAAGCCGAAAACTCTTAGTTTTCAGAGTCCTGCAAGAAGCTGCCTTTCCTCTTCCTCCTAAGCAGAGAGCTCCTGATAAAAGATTTTTTAAATTCTCCACAGGTAGCTACTCTATGTTCACCCTATCTTATGTAAAGAGCAGATTTACTTAGCACGAGAGGGATATAATTGTCTATTCCCCTACCTGTTCCTTTTCCCTTGCAGCATGTGGATTCAGTAATGACCACACCCTCCCTGTCTCCCCTCCAGTCCGCTTTTCAACAGCGGAAAACCTTTACATATTGAAACCTTCACAATCATCTTTGGAGAAAGGCATGGACCACAGACTGTTTTTACTATGATTCTGTGTTTTTTTTCCTGGGCATTGTCCTTAATCTTGGCAAAATAAGCTTCTAAATTGTTGAGACTGTCAGGTACTTTTTGGTTGATGGAACCCTGCTTTATTTTATTCACAGTTCTAGCCCTAACTCCTATTTTTTGAATGAATAAATGAATGAATGAGTAAATGGATCAAAGCCCAAGGATCCTCATAGTTACACTTGGCAGAGAATTTTTCCTATATCCTATATGGATTAACTCCTATTTGGCATTCAATTCTGACGCACTGAGGGATTCTATGTGTGCTGCTGACACTCTGGCCTACAGCCTCCCAGGGAAAAATGCAACATGAAATCCAAAACAGAAGTAGCTATACGAGTTAATGAAGCCCTCCTCCCCCAGCACCCGCAGAGACTGGAGTGTCAGATGCCCTCTTTGTTTTTCTGATGACCTTCTCACACTCTATCACAAGTGTCCCCTGTGTCTGCTAACCACAGCCACAAGGATGCTTAACAAACCAACGACCCCAGGACAGAATGGTGTGAAACGACAGTCATTCACTCTTGCCCAGAAGTCTGTGGGCGAGATGGAATTCGGTTAACCTAAACTAGGCTGGGTTAGACCTGGCTCTGAGGTGCAGATGGGATCCAAGTCTGTTCCACGGGTGTCTCATCCTCCTTGGACTAGTAAGCTTCCTGGGAGATGATCCTCTTTGGGGAAGGTGAAAATGGAAACAATGCGGGCAAAAGCACACACCAGGCCACGCTGGGAACCAGCTCCCTCCTGTCTGCCCACATTCCATCTGCCATAGCAAGTCAATGCCCCAGCCGGCCAGCCATCGGCGGGGCGGGAAGTGGGAGCAGTCATGCCGGTTGCCACGCCTGACTCTTCTGGCTCCTCAAGGATGGTGACAACTCCTGGTCTTGCTCACAGCCCTCATGGCTTACCCACCAGAACATACCAGGGAATATTTGTGACTGAAAGTCTACCCACGCAGGAGTTGTGAATGAATCCAGGGGAAAAATTTTCAGCCACCTTTTCCTTGAATTGTTCCCTGCTCCCAGCACAGATTTCTCTGGGAATGCCGTGCAGTAAACCCGGGGTGGCATTGAGGGCACAACCCTCACACTCCAGAAACCCTCCCCCGTTCCCTCTTGAGTCGGGAATCGTCAGAGTCCAAGGACTCAGAGTGACAGTCGGAACTCCCCCTTCTGGTGACCTGAGATCTTTCCCTTAACTGTGTATCTGGCCTGGAGCTTTCTCCCTTAAATTCTGTTTCTACACAATACTATTCTTCAGGGCTTTCTGAAGCACGAATAGTTCCTGTGACTTTACCTCTAACCACACTCTCAGGTTTGCCAGCATGAAGATCACATAAACATCCACCAAGTTGCTGTGTCCTCCTTAGACACTCATTAGCTTGTCGCATCCCCACCTATACTGGACCAAGCCAGGCCCACTAGTTCTCCAGTAAGGACATGAAAGAAGTGGGAATTAAATACACCGTGGCTAACCAATACCACATACCAGGATAAGTAAATGAATTCAAAGCTGCCATTGTAGGAACTAGTGTAATAGCCATAGCTGTTGTGCCAAATGTTGAACATTCATTCCTGCATTTTATCCCCATGAAGTGAGTACCATGCTGATTCTACAGAGGATGTATTAGAAGAGTTCAAAGAGGTTAAGAGGCCTGGCTGAGATCTTACAGCTGGTAAGCAGACATTGAAATTTAAACCCAGCACTGTGACTCCAAAGCCCTTGTTCTTTGAAAATATACTTCCTATGACAGATACTGCTAGTTTCTTCTCCCAGTATCTGTCCCCCCTGCTTCCCCAATAATAGAACCCCTGAATATTACCTGGGCACATGGCCCTCTATCCATTAACATTTCCCATCATTCCTTGCAACACGCAGTGGCCATGTGACACAATGTGGGTCAATGAGATGTGAGTGGAAGTGTCATGTGATCCCCCGGGGAGGTCTCCACTAATCTTCCTTCCTGCTGCTCAGTGTGGATGTGGTGGCTGGACTGTGGCCGCCATCTAGAACTACAAGGTACAGACCACTCATTGAATGCAGTAGGGCAGTAAGAGGGGAACCTGAGTTTTTGGTGGCTTCATGAAGCCACCCACCATCCGGACTACCTTTTTTATGTGTCTAGACTTTCTGTCACGCACAGCCAAGCCTATTCCCAATATACTGTTTTTCCAGAATTTATAAAAAGATCCCAAGGGAAGGAGCCCTGTCAGGTACTATCAGGTGCTGTGTTCTCACAGTCTTTTTTCTGATAGATATTCAACTATTTCAAGTAAACAGTTTCTGCTGGTTAACTCTAAAAGTCACTTTAACTCAAAATCAGGAGCTGATGTGCAGCCTCCCCTCAAATGAAAGTGCCCCACCATGCTTACGTTCTCTCAGGTTCAGGCTTAGCCTCGAATTACGGGAAGGTTTGTAACCTTGTTTAAAATAACTTTGACACCAGAAAGTCAGGCTGTGCCATTCAGGAACAGTCAGTATGTAATGATTCACAGAGCTATGGAGCTGAAGAGTCTGAGAAATCTAATCGAGTCTCTTCTTTCTACAGGTAAAGTGAGTTTCAAGTTAATTCCCTTCTCCAAATCACATGGCTGGTTGGGTGAGAAGTGTTTCAACAAGGACCCTGTTCCAGTGGAATGAATCCCAAAATGCTGTACTCCTCCAGTAACTGCTACCCCCATCCACCCCGACCCCCATCTCCAGCCAAGGGAATTGCCTTGGTTTCTCTCCCTGGACTTGAGCAAAAGAGCCGCTTTACTGTGACTTCTCCAGGAAGTGGCTGCAGACAAGTAAACCACAAACATATAGTAGTGACAGTTTTCAATAATCAAAACCTCAAAAAAAGGTTGGAACCAAAATTGCTATCGTGTGGGAAACAGTAAATTTTTGGCAGGCCCAGAGGGGAAAAGAAAATTAGTTTTGCAGCAAAACACTATTCTTCTGCCCTACTTTCTTTAAATGAGTTTTTAAAGCACAGAGAGCTTGACATTTTTGCTGGAATCTGAGTTGACCTTACTGGAAGAAAGAAATTTCAAGGGCAGCTCATTCCAAGTATTTGAGTTAGAATTATTTCCTTTTTTTTCCAACACATTCAACACAAGCAAACAGAGGCGTATGAGGAAAAGAAGGACCCGGCATAAGAAAAAGACAAAAATGTGTGAAGTGTGAGAGGAAGGAAAAGAATTCTGGAAGGTAGAAAGAGTTCATGACACAGCCCTAAGCTGGACAGGTGGTGCAGCACGCACAGAGGCCCAGGTAACCATTACCTGCCTTTGATTCCCAGGTGTCTGCAGCTTCTGGTCATAGACAGTACATACAGCCTAAAGGGATGTAAGTGTTTACTCCACCTTTCCATTTAATTTTTAAAAATTACAAAAAGACTGAAAAGTTGAAAACATACTATGACAAATGCAAGTATATACTTCACTACATTCTCCAGTTGTTAATATGTTGCTGCATTCGCCTTATTCTCAATCTCTCTTCACACACACAGGCATATACACATTGACAAGGACACCACAGACAGACACAGACACAGCACAGGCTTATTTGCTCCTGAACACCTGAAAGTTTTAGACATCATCAAACGTCACCTCTAAATACTTCAGAATACATGCAGGAGTGCATTTTTTTTAACAGATTGAAAACCTAGTAAGTAAACAATGGCTCCAGGAAGGAATTTTCAAGCATGTAGAAGGAGTAACAATTTTATTTGATAATATATTTAATATATCTGGACTGAATTCACCCAGAAGATTAAACTCTTCTGTACGCCTACCTTTACCTTGTTCCCAGAAGTTTTTAGACAACTGTCTCATCTCTGAGTCAGGTGGCACAGTCATTCAAAGAGCAAAAACAAAGTGTCAGGTGCTGAATGTTAATGAAGTCACATAACTATCAGGCCTTACACATACCACTGAGTCACCTCTAGTGTGTAAAATGAATTCCTAAGAGCCCAAACATGTTTTATGCGTGTCGTATAAATCCCTCGAAACCCATGAGGAAATAAATACCTACATCAAAACTAAGCCTGGAAAATTTTTATAAATTCAAAGGTGAAACAATATAAAATGTATTTTTTAACTAAGACCTAGGAA